ACCCAGTATCGCTCGCGCGGCTGCATTCTGGACCAACTGTAGTCTTCCAACACTCTTCAAGGGCAGCCCCAGGTAAAGCGTGTTACAGTAATCCAGTCTTGAGGTGACGAGGGCATGAGTGACCATTCGAACACGGCATGGACACCAACACGAAGCACAAGGAACCCATTTCGACTCAAGGAAGACTACTTTGCTCTCTGGCACAAGGAAACACCTAAAAAAAAAGTCAGTCTCTCTTTACAGACATGATTTGCCAATTCTGTGTTAGCTTCAGTTGCACATTGAAAACAGACTGCTGCTCATCCATCTGTGGCAAATAAACTGTTTCCCCAAGCCACTGAGCCAGGTAGCTTACAGAATTGCAATTTCTTTGGAACCATTCATGCCTTGCAAATAATAAAAGACTGCAATGGGTGACTGCCCTTTTTCTTTCTCTTTGTGTACTCATGTTTCTAGTAAACACTTTTTCAGGTCTTTGTATTTTCCCAAAATACTGGAACAGAATAGCCTCAGGAGGCCACACAAGGCTTCATCATAGATCCTTGTTGACTGCAAATCAATGCTGCGTGATGCGAACACCAGTCGGAAATTCGGGAGCTAGCGGAATCCTTGACATCTGGGGCTCTCTGAGCAGATGTTGAAGCCCAGGTTCCTCCTTTCAAACCATGCTATGCAATTCCATGTACAAGAGGAGACACTTCCATTAAATAAACTTGTTAACTTCAAATAGAAGAGGCATCTCTGCAACTCTCCTATATTCATTCTAGCAATTCAGAAATGTAAGGCATGTTAAAAAAAAATTATCTTGAGCAAGAGAGTGAGAGAAAGTACACAGCACATGAATTTGACTACCTGGTTGATGTTTATAGATCTTGAAAAGAATCAAGCAGAGTAAGAGTTGGAGTTGGATAAGAGCTGAATAAGAGTTTGATTAGAGACACTGGGAAATCCCGGGGCCAAAACCAAATTTGGGACATGAAAAGAGCATCTCATGGTTTCATGAGATTGATTTTATTTTTATTTTATTATTATTTTTATATTGTAGTATAAATGGAATGGAATGGAATGGAATAGAATAGAATAGAATAGAATAGAATGATAGAGTTGGAAGGGACCTTAGAAGTTTTCTAGTCCAACCCCCTGCTTAGGCAGGAAACCCTATACAATCTCAGGCAAACGGCCATCCAACATCTACTTAAAACCTTCTATTGATGTTAANGGGAAGGGTCCGGATCTCCAAGGCTAGATCGTTCCACAGGACCGGCGCAGCTACAGAGAAGGCTCTCCCCCGAGGGGCCACCAGCCGGCATTTTCCGGCTGACGGCACCCGGAGGAGGCCTAATCTGTGTGATCTTGTTGGTCGTTGGGAGGTATGTGGCAGGAGGCGGTCTCTCAGGTAGCCAGGTCCTATATCATGTAGGGCTTTAAAAGTAATGACTAGGAGAGAGAGAGACAGAGAGAGACAGAGAGAGAGAGAGAGACAGAGAGAGAGAGACAGAGAGAGAGAGAGAGAGAGAGAGAGAGAGAAAGAGAGAGAGAGAGAGAGATAACATAGCTAGTAAACTGACGTAGTAGGAACAAGGGATAAATAATAACAAGGTTACGGAGATGGGTTTATCTGAAATATTCCAATGTTTCACATATCTGCCCATTTCTTTGTCTAGTCTTTGCAACGTAGTGGGCCAAAAGTCTGTTCTTCTGGTTCTGCTTCTGCCCACGGCTGTTAGGCAAAGTGTGAAGCTTTGCTGGGAACGCAATCTATCTCTATCGGGTGATTGATTTGCATGCAAACAAAAGAACGTATCTTCAAAGGAATTTAGTTGCTTTAAGAGAGCCAGGTTTCGGCTAAAAGGCCATGCAATTTGCTGAATGAAAAAAAACAAAAACTAACATTAAGCACTGCTACATCAAGAGTTCCTCGCCTTCATCCCATGCAATGCTGTTACGCGCACTGTGTTTTCTTCCCCTAAGGCATCCAGTCCAGCTTGCACAGAACTGGAAATGAATGTGATGGATTGGCTGGCTCAAATGATGGGTCTTCCAGAAACGTTCTTGCATTATCATCCAAGCAGCAAAGGTGGTGGCATTTTGCAGGTAAATGAATGAATTGATTGATTGATTGAGAGATTTAATGTCCGTAGCCAGCTATTTACCATGTGACTGATTCTGAAGGTTCACTTGTTGTTAATATAAGCACAGCAATAGACTTATATACCGTTTCGCAGTGCTTTATAAACCTCTCTAAGGGATTTACAGAGTCAGCCTATTTCCCCCAACAATCTGGCTCCTCATTTTACCAACCATGGAAGGATGGGAGGCTGAGTCAATCCTGAGCCAATCAGAATCAAACTCCTGGAGTGAGCCGTGAGTTAGCCTGCTTGGCACATCTGGCTGCATCTGGTACTCCTTCGGCCAATTTGGTGACCTCCAAATATGTTGGAGCAACAGATTCCAAAACTCACACGCAGGAAGGTTGGAAATCATAGACTCATGGAATTGGAGAGGACCTAAGCGGCCATCTGCTCTCTAGTCCCAACACAAATTTAAAATGCCTTTATATCTTCTTGATAAATTTTCTGGTGTCTTATACCATCATTTTATGAACGTTGTCTGTAAGGTTATAACACAATGTAAGTTTCAATTCTTTCATATTTTCCCATTGTTCTACAATGGTAGAACAACGGTAGAACACTGGTTCTTTGGTACTAAACTGCTTTGAAACTCATTGAATTTGATACTCAACATATTTTGGTGCAATATTTTTGTCCCACTACTCATTGTTTGTTTGGTACTGAACACACAGGCTAGAACCTGTCAGAGTCAGCTACCTTGTGACTCAATACATTATTCCTTATGGGAAAAATTTGATATTCATTGTTTTTGGTACTCATCACATCTCCCGGAATCAGTTAATGATGTCTACCGAAGTATCACTGAATCTGCATACTATAGCCAACTTTTGAAGCCCATGTTATCGTACATTCTTTTTACTTGTTCTTCTTCCATTTCAAATTTTAATAGAGGTTTATACATTTTAGCACCTTGCTTAACAATGCTAATTCTGGTCCTAAATGTGGTTATAAATTGAGGAATACTGGTAATGAAGTGTCTGCAGTAGAAGTTGACTTGCAGGAAGTCATAAATCTTCCTTCAGCCAGGAACTATCGGTGTCATTTGCTCTTTGGAAACAAGATTTCCCAATTAGATCCTTGTAGAGACCACAGGCATAATACAAACGGAGTGTTTTGACTTTTCGAACACGTCCTATCTACGTTTCCTGGTAAAACACATGGGAAAATCCAATAGGGGGAAAACCCACTTAGGGTTAGGTTAAGTCTCCATGAATTCAGATAGAAAAATGTCTGAAACACCCTACCTGATCCTGTTGTTACTTCCTCTAACCCCCATACCTATTGAGCCGAGGTGGCGCAGTGGTTAAATGCAGCACTGCAGGCTACTTCAGCTGACTGCAGTTCAGCAGTTTGGATGTTCAAATCTCACCGGCTCAGGGTTGACTCAGCCTTCCATCCTTCTGAGGTGGGTAAAATGAGGAC